TTTTTTTTTTTAAACTGATCTCCCCCAAATACTCAAGAGTTTCAGAAATGTATGCCAGCAAGAATGCTGAGCCTAAACTGCATGTGAGCCGTGGATTATAACTTTTTTCCAGTAAGAGATGAAAGGAGAACAGTGAAGTCAGAGTGTGCAGCTTCAGGAATGTGAAAGCCCAGGCCAAGGCTAACCCAGTGTTGAAGATGACAAATGAGCAGAGTGGTCACTGTGGATACTTTATGGACCCTATTATACTGTCCCAGCGACTGATTTAAGTAGTTCCAGCTCTTCTGTTTGTATTATCTTGGGTCTCTAAATCCCTCCAAGTGTTCCTCCAAAAATGCTAGTATTTAGGGGCGCCCGCTGGCTCTGCCGGTAGAGCATGCGGCTCTTGCTCTCGGGGTTGTGAGTTTGAGCCCCACGTTGGGCGTGGAGATGACTTGAAAATAAAATATTTTAAAAATGCTGAAACAAAATAAAAATAAATACTAGTATTTAAAAGTATCAGGGGCGCCTGGGTGGCGCAGTCGGTTAAGCGTCCGGCTTCAGCCAGGTCACGATCTCGCGGTCCGTGAGTTCGAGCCCCGCGTCAGGCTCTGGGCTGATGGCTCAGAGCCTGGAGCCTGTTTCCAATTCTGTGTCTCCCTCTCTCTCTGCCCCTCCCCCGTTCATGCTCTGTCTCTCTCTATCCCAAAAATAAAAAAAAATAAACGTTGAAAAAAAAAAAAATTTTAAAAGTATCAAGAGAACATAAAACAGGAGGCTCCTTGCAACCCATAAAGCTGTCCTTCAAAATCCAGACATCCCGTTGTGTTCCAAGCATTTGTGCTGGATGCTTTAAGAATATCCTCACTTATTCCTTATCACAAGCCAGAGAGAGAAAAATTATTGTCACTGTGCTATGGCCTTGGATGTGACCCTGACCCCTTTTCCATCTCCCCCTCCCCTGCTGCACTGTAAGGTTGGGGAGGGGCTGCTGAAAGAGTTACCTAGGGCAGGTTCTGTCTCAGTCGCAGAGATCTCACATAGAGAGCTCACATAGTCATAAAGAGCTCACATAGAGAGATGCCCGGGTTAGGTGCTCAATGAATATTAGATGAGTAAATAACAAACAAATGAATAATTCTGGGGTCCTTTGGACCATGGGTTGTGTTTCAGAAAGGCATCTAGGGCTCACCTTCTCATCACAGAATCCCTTCAATTGGTGTAAGATAAAATCAGGCAACCCACTGATCCCTTTTCCAGGGGATGCCTACGATGAAGGCTGGTATTTCTTCTGGGTCGCTATACATAACATTGCGAAGGGCATTCCCTGGATGCATCCTCTGGGATCGCTATAGGATCCCTGTTTTAGTAGGGATCCTCCCCCCAAGCCCTTTAGGGGCTGCCTGAAGGCTGCATACCGGGATCCAGCCTCTAGTTTTCTCTCATATACTTAATAAAAGTCATCCTGCTAGAGACACTTCCCTTGAATCCTCCTCATAGAAGGGCTCATTTCCTGCTAATCGTGTTCACTTAAAGACTTCTAAATGGAAAGACAGAAATAAACACACCCCAGAACATTAAAACAGCAATCTTCCATGACCAAGTAGGGTTATTCCCAGGAATTATATTTTAAAAAATATATTGAAAAGGGAAGTTAGGGTTTTGGGTTAAGATGGTGATTAAATGCATATATCTAATTTCACTCCCTCCCAAAACCCCACTAAAATTTCAATAAAGAAATTTTTAAATCAAGAGATAAACCCTGAAGGATGGAGAGAGCAGGAAAACAGACAACAGCCACAGAATTTTTGAAGCAGGATGGCAGACAGCCATGCGGTTACTGACTTATCAGCCCTGAGGAAAAAGACATCTCAACTGGCAGTGGGGAAAATGGAGCCAACTTGATTTACATTGCAAGGTTCTCAGAAGGCACACAAACTCCCAACCAAGGTCCCTCTGGAACTGTGGAAGAGTTTGCTAAAATAAAGGCCATGATGAAAAGCAGTTAAATCCCTAGATTTCTTCCCTAACTCCAAGCCAGGGGACTACAAGTCCCTCCCCATCCCAGCCATGGTCTGGAAGATTTTCCTCTGAGGATGGTAAGATAGAGAGGGTAATTGGGGGCGCCTAGGTGGCTCAGTCAGTTAAGGGTCCGCCTTCAGTTCATGTCACGATCTCACAGTTCATGAGTTCGAGCCCCGCATTGGGCTCTCTGCTGTCAGCACAGAGCCAGCTTCAGATCCTCTGTCTCCCTCTCACTCTGCCCCTCTGCCACTCTCTCTCTCTCCCAAAAATAAACATTAAAAAAAAAAAAGAGCGTATCTGGATTGGAGAAGCTTCAAATGCAGTTGTGAACAGAGATACCATACTGAAAATACTAGAAACAAGGGGATTAAGTGACCATGTCCTATGGCACAGAACCCTAGCCTTCTACTGTTGGGGTCCCAAAGTGCTCAGAGTAGGACTTTTGCTGTTTAGGCAGGAAACTGGAAGATTCTACTCTGGGGTATTTCACCAGCCCTAGAGGAAAGACCTAAAGATACTAACATAGAGGTTTCCCCCAAAACAACCCAGCTGTGTCACCGTACAGTGGCAAATCCAGCCTGTGAGTTGGCTCAGAGTTTTTGACTAGCCCTCTAGCCCTCCACAACCTTAATCATGGCCAAACATTCCCAGACATGCAGGAAATTTTCTAATGCAAAGAGAGAGACAAAACAAACAATAAGAGAAGTAACTTGCAGGAAACAGGTTATACAGAGAGAAGAAAGGGTCCAAAAAGCCCATTTTTAATATCCTTAGAGAGATAAGACAAGATAGTACATCTATGAAACAAGAACAATATGCTATACAAAGGAACACCCAGAATATAGCAAGAGCAACAA